TATTGACATAAACCTGAAGCAACAAAATCAATAATATATATATTTTACATACCTCTACTTAAAACATATACCTACATAATCCTTGCGAATATTTTAAATTAAAGATTATCCAACTACTATACTACAGGATAATCCGGATTACATCCGCGACAATGTTGAACCAGGTCCCTTTATTCACGGGAGTATTTTGCCGCAGGAGGGTTAACCTCTAATTACAATAAATAATGGACCGAATGGGAGGGTTTATGTGAAATTGGTTTATCCAACAACAGTTGATTTGTCACATATTGTTAGATACAGGTTTTGATATATTTTGAACAGGACCATTTCCATAATTTCTTTAAACACATAAATGTTTGAAGCAATTTTGTTCTTGTCAATTTTTTCTGTTTTCATGCGCATTTTATGCCTTTATTCTTTTCTATCATTGCTTCTTTGTTTTCCTCTATGTATTCTTCAAAAGAATAATATATTCCGCTGTATTTTGTTCGCTTGGAATGGGAATACTTCTTTGTTAATTCCTTTTGTACTTCTGAATTATATTTATTTAATCTATAATTGATGTTGTTTATATCACTTCTTCTGATTCTTTTTTCATGCCTTTTTCTACTGAGCTTCACGTTTCTTCGACACATACTTTCAATTGATAGTACTCAAGTTTCATGCCCTCACCCCAGAGTTTGATTTTAGTTCTCAAACTTTTATGTTCACTGCTAGGTCTGAAGATGTTGATAGCTTAGACATTATGATCGTATCTATGTAGAAAGTAGTCTATTTGTTGGAAAGGCAATCAGACAACTGAATAACAGTACAGTTTATCAAAATTAAATAGGAAAGTTTTCCTATAAGAACTTAAAACATTTTGACAAAGATACTAAATCAAATTTTACAAAGACAATGAATTACATTTTCTCAGCAATTCAAAGCCCTTCCATTTCATTTCTACTCCGTCAAAATAGATTTTTGATTTTAACCCGGCCAACGCGAACAAAAGCTAATCCGACTTGATTCCAGTAATCTCATTCTACCATCGACAACAGAACGAAATCATGAACTAAAAAGTTTGGTCCACTTAAGGCGAGATAAACTCGGAAAATTGAAATTCTCTTCAATATTTCAAGTTCTATTCCGAGCTAGAAAACGGCTCGCATATCTGATGGAACTTTTCGGTTGGAAAGTTTCACGTATATAGCAGAATCTCGGGTTGTTGCCAAACTTGGGAAGTTACCTGTTTTGAAATTGTAATCAACTGGCAGATGATACTTTTTTTTTTAAATAGACAAATAATTGGCCTAAACTTTTATAAAGTTGTTTTGGAAGAAATTGCCAGTTTGCTTTCAAAAAATAGTTATGTAGAGAGCTGGTTTTTGGATAAAATATTTTGTTGCTTAGGATTTATTTACTGTTAAGATGAGATGTATCTAGCCTCCTCAATTTTTTCTTCCTCTTCTCTCTCTTTATTCTACTTCATTCCACTAAAGAAGTAGATTCGAAGAAAATAATTTGTAAGAAATAATCAGGCATTACCTAGAAGCAACCAAATGACAAATTCACCTCAACTCTATTTTCAAATATTAACACAACAATAATGAATGCTCTACTGCCGAATAAGCATATTATATCCATAAGTAATGAGAGCGCAAATTCGTGAGGAAAATTCGCAAGGGTCTAATTTCGCTGATGTGAAATGAACAAGTTTACCAAACTAATTTCAACTTTTAGATTTGATTTTACCTATTTAACATAGCCTTGAAACTTGCTTAAAGTTAATTATGTATATTTTGTATGATCTAATTGGAATGCATGGTTGGAAGCTTAGATTATGAAAGGGTAATGTGAATCTCTACGAGATGGGTTCCATTACTTCTCTAGTTATTTGGGTAGCTTCGTCAAAGTTATCATAAACTTTACGAATAAGTTTGAATAGACTTTATCGTTATTCATCCTAAAAATTCCTCGTCTCCAAATCATCGTTCAATTTCAATTCATATAATAGTAGAGAGCAAATCTCAATGCTATACTTTTAAGGCCTATGAATACCTGTAAAGTTTCGTCGACAAAAAATAAAATTTTACAACTTTCTGTCTCCCCAAAACTAATAATTTTCGAGATATTTCAGTGAATGAAAAAATATTGGTACTCTTGAATTTTTTAAGATTCTTTCATTTCATCTGATAAACTTCTCCAAAGCTAGAAAGAATCTTTACGATTTGCATCAAGAATGTCACTTAGGTATGTACAAGGTGTCCAAGATTCGATGGTTTTAGCGGGTTTCGGGTATCACTTGCGAGCCTCAATTTTCAAGAGAAGTTGACCGGTGATACCCGCACCTCGATATCTCGATTCGTTTTTACGCTACAAGAGGAAAGTTAACCAAATTTTCATAAATAAAAAAGTTATAGCCCCTCTGCCAAACTCCAAACTTTTCAAAAACACTTCGTAGCATAAAAACGACTCGACATATCGAGATGCGGTTTTCATCAGTCAATTTGTCTTGAAAATCGAGGCTCACAAGTGGGGGTCAGATTTTTCCCAACTTCTCTAGAAATACCTGAAACCCTCCAAAACCATCGAATCTTGGACACCCTGTACACTGTCAACTTTTTCAATATAATTTGGAGGCTTTGCTAGTAAATTTGACATTTGACATTTGACACCTGTCAAAATGTATTCGTTCGTATTTATTAATACGCCCGCGAAGCGTATGTATCATTATGCCCGTAGGGCGTATTTTTTTATATGCCCGTAGGGCGTATGTATCAATACGCCTATATGTAAAAAATTATTTACAATTTTTTTCACCGGTCAAAAAATTTGACAGCTGTCATTTTGACCACATTACCCTCGTAAAAAGTGACAAGAAGATGTAAGAAAAATTCGAGATAAAGTGCGTTCGATAGCTGACGTCCTAATTTATCAAAATCGGTTTTGACATTTGACACCTGTAAATTTTTTTTTCTTTTAATTTTTCGAATAATTTATGCGGTATCTATGTAAATAAATGATTAAAATTTTTTGGACCTGTCAAAAAATTTAACAGGTGTCTTTTTGTCTATGTTTTCCCTGAAAAAAGTGAAAAGGAGATGTCAGAAAGATTCGAGATAAAGTGCGTTCGATAGCTGACGTCCTAATTTTTCAAAATCGATTTCGACATTTAATACCTGTCAAATTTTTTTGTTTTAATTTTTCGAATAATTTATGTAATAGATACGTAATAGTTATTTATATTACTAGTACGGTATGAGCTTTATTACATTAACGAGTGGGAAATATTGCCAAGACGAGGTCGTAGACCGAGTCGTGGTAATCACACGAGTGGTGTAATGAGCGTTACCGTACGTGTGATATGCAACATTTTATGTACGACCCAGATTTTTTTCATGTATTCAGATTATACATATTTATAATTTTTGATATAAATGATATAAATGAATTTTAAAAAGTACCGTTTTTCAATAAAAATGACTTACGTAATGAGCTCTCATTACATCACTGAGTGATGTAATGAGAGCTCATTACACCACTGAGTGATGTAATGAGTTCATTACATCACTAAGCACGATAATGCAACTTATTACGTAACTCAAACAGGCTAAAATGAGTTACGTAATAAGCTCTTACAGTGTAGGTCGTACATAAAAAAAAAATTAAATTTTTTGGACCTGTCAAATTTTTTGCAGAGCGCGAGTAAATCAGTGCGCCCGCAGGGCGCGAATTATCAATGAAAACTCCCATCACAAACATTCGTGCCCATAGGGACAAATTACATCAAAAATCCTTCACTTACATCAATTTAATTGAAATTTTTCAAAATATCTCTTTTATCGTTCGATACCTTTTTTTTTCCACCAAACACTGAAAAACCAATAGAGTGCGGCTTGTTCATACGTCAATATGAAACACCACGACGACTAGACGAGAGGAGAAGCTAGGCTCGTCCCTTAAGACGCTTGTCTGCCATTGTTCAATGTTCAATTTTTATTTTTATTTTGTATTAAACTGAGAATTTCATACATCTGTTAAAACTGGTATTCCAACAATAAATTGACATGTTTTGATTGTTGATTTGAACCAATCAGATTGTAATTACGCGATAATTGCATACTAACTGGTGCGAAAACTGGTGTTTTGACATTTTTTGACAAAAAATTTAAATTTTTGATTTATGAAACTCTTTCATTAAATACAACTCGTGCAATGGAAATATATTTATAATTTTCGACAAATTTGCACTCATGCGTTTTTAACTGAAAAAGGCACTCGTGCACTACGTGCAAATTTCCCAAAAATTATCAATAATTTCCATTGCACTAGTTATATTACTGTTGATTATTCAATCCAATTTGTGATTAGTTTGTGTGTAGAGGAGCATTCACAGGTCAGTTGATTAATTGTTATTTTGTTTTTTTGGGAGTTTAATTTATACAAGTATTATTTTTTCAATTTTATGTTTTTTTTGTTTGTGTGTCCTAGCAAACAGAAAGAAAGAGATATTGGCTCAGAATAACAACTATAGCTGGGTAGCGTCCCGTATGGGACCTCAGTACCTGCTGGCAGACCGTCTAACTAATCAAAAACTTTTCAGTATTGAATATAGCTAGTTTGTAATTTAAACTTTTATTGAATTATTTTGAGGAATGTTAGATCGAGGGTTTCTCTGCCGTTCTCTTTCCTCTCGAGAATTCTAGGTCGAGAAGGGTACGATTTTCTTTAATAATAAAGTAGACGTTTCACACATTTTTCCCTTCTTTTACATATCACAGCTTCCCCTAAATATCCCAAATATTTGCTATATCAGGCGCATGTCCAGTAAGTAAAATTGAGTTTCCACAACGTAGGTCTTATTTGTTTTTCATTTTATTTTTCAGAAGACTTGTTGTTTAAAAAGTAATAAAAGTTGTCACCGTTAAATCTTACTGAACGAACCCGGGTATATTATACGACAATATTCTAGCCTTAACCGATATTACTTCAATTTGTTCCATTTTATCTCTTCACAGTGGACGGACAGCCGAGGGCTATCTACTCCTGGATCTCGAATACGGACCGTTCCAGTTATTTCAGCATGAACATCGAGGGACATACGTTTTATCGTCTTAACTATCCTCTGAGGCTGAACAGATGGTATCACACTTGTCAGAGCTGGAATGGCAAGACCGGAGAATGGCAAATTTGGGTCAACGCCGAAAGAGTTGGTCGAGGATTTCATAATCGGGTAAGTGAAGCGACTGACAGCGGATTCGAATTTCTTCGTAATGAAACTGTATTTTGAATTCTATAAATTAGACATAAATTTTCTACAAAAATCCGCTTCAAGTAAAGCATTCCGCTGACGCTGTCTATTAAAATCCCAAAAAATACACAAGGTTCGCTTGTTATTAAAAAGGCGAAAGGGGCGGAAACTTTTATTTAAAACCCTCTCCGATGTATTTCGCGAGAAACCGAGAAGAACAATTGTTTACGTTTGAAATATACTAAGTCGACCAAATGGAACCCGAGACACTACGGAATCTAATTTAAAGAGGCTTTCCTCTCGGAATTCTCCCGTGCATCGCCATTTGTGTCGAGGCAGTGTCACATTATAAACAAACAGCATCCCTGGAGAGCGTCTAGCAAAGTATTTTCGGTGTTCTTATGTGTCAAAATGTAGTCATAATATAAAATATAAATGAATCAAAAGAGAAGCAAAAGAAAATTATATAGAACGTTTTTCAAAAGGGTTTCGTGTATTGTCAAACTAATTGCCTGATTGAAACAAGCAAGGTCTTTTTGAATTCAAATTAGAGGAATCGAGGAAATAAATGAAAAACAAAATACCAGTTGTTTCAGAGACTCTCCTACAATAAGAATTTGAGGTCTTTCGTCATCGATTACTAGCAAATTCTTTTGCGAGGCATATTGTTTCTAGTATATGGGTTTGTACTGCGGAAATATAAATTGATTGGAGACTTTGCATTGCAGAATCCATGAGACAGTAATTTTCTTCAAAATTGCTTCTTATTTGTCAAGAATTGCCCATGTTTTGACCATTTCGATACATTCACAATCATTTGTCATACTTTTACAGCAAAATTGTTGTTTAGTGCTAAATCCTAGTCTTAGATGGCGCCACGATCAAATTTCGCTCTTCGTATTACTTCTACTTTGCCTGCAGACAGTAAACTTGTGTTGGGTTTCTTTGCTTTCCTAGCCACACTGATGAGATCTGATAGATCGAAACGAGTCTGTGGATGAAAAAGCGAAAAAAAATAACCCAAAATTTTCACGTAAATAATAACTTTTCTCGTAAAATAAAAAATATGCCGTTTTAATAGGTTGTGAATTGTACTCAATGACATTTTTGCACTAACATTCAAGAGAAAAATTAAATAATACTTATTCAGCTACTTGCCAAATCACTCAAAATATTTAAATCAACACGCAGATTTTGCACACTCACCCTTCCCATATCACGCAATTTTTGTAAAACGGGCACAATGTTCTCTCATCAAATGGGTGCTCTTGGGAAATCTTTCCCTGTAAATTCTGGCGGCTGAATGGGCATTTTGCAACAATTCTGCCTAAACAAGTAGTGCATATTCCGTTTGTAAATTTTTTATTTTCAAAAAATAAAGAATTACGTTAGTTTCCAATGCTTCAACTAACTGACATAAGACAAATCAAGTGTGTGTGTTGTGCTATGTTGCCAGATGTTTAGATACCGATTTACGAGTGACATTTTCATGTTGTGTTTTCAATTTTTTATTATTTTTGTTGACTAAAAATGCATAATTTCTTAATAATTGAATGAAATAATTTTTTTTACATCTTATAATGATTAATACTGTCTTTATCTTTCAAATATTCGTCAAAAAAAGTCAAAACTTCAAAGGCCTTTTTCTTAAAAATGGTTGAGTTTGGACCCCATGTAGTATAAACTTTTTTTGTTCAAAATGGACTATATTTTCACGTGTTAAAGTTTCTAAAGGCAAACCTGATACATCCTGTATACTAGGAATAACAAATCATTTATCAACCCAAGCTGTTTCATATAAGTTATAGATTGGTATGAGTTGGGTGGGGAAACACGAAATCTCCTTTTCACAATTTCATGATAATCATCATAAAATCATCATAAAATCAATCGGCGAGTTGAGTTGAATGGAAAATCCACGGACACAATCAGTTTTTTCTATTGATTAGTTTGTCTCATGAAATTGATTTTATTTCTGATTTTTTAAACTAACCAAGAATTTATTACATTCCATAAAATCAAATTTATGTGATGAAAATACATTTCTTCTTTTTTTAAAACAATTTATTACAATGTATAGGTATTACATTCCTATAGGCAATAATTCAGTTAATAATTACAGTTTAATTATTTTATTATCGTCTAGAATACTAATGGTAACAGCTCAAAAGTATACCTTTCACTGGCTTTTTAGGAATTTGGAATTTTCATATAATAATATGTACCTACTAGTTATTAACTGTATTTTTATGATTAATCACACAATATGTAAAGTGAGTTAAAATTTTATACAAAAAACTTCATTGCATAGATACTTGAAATAAAAACGATTTTATGGAGAAGGACCTCTTGAACTTTCTATAACTGGATAACGAACCTGTTCGATTTTTTTAATCAAAATTTGTTAAGAAAATGAATGTAAGAAAAATTTAGTGAAGGAGAATTTGAAAAAAAAATTTAGATACTACGACCTAGTTTCTTCGTCTTTGCATGCTTTTACTGTAAACGGTTCCTAATGATAATACATACTTACATATTAGATACCTACCTAATGAAATAAAAGTTATCTAAAAATGTTCGATTGATTTTGTGCCCTTTAATCCAAAAATAACTATTTCATACACTCTCCAAATTGCATAACAAATTCATGCCTCGTACTTAATAGCTATAAAAAATTGACTCTTAAATAATAAATGTAGTTAAACTTCTCGTTTAGTTTTTTAAATCGAAATAGGTCAACTGAACTCCAACAGCAGCTAAATAATAATACCAAGACTACAACTCTGCTAAAAGTTCTTCTTTCACTACAAAAGCAAAATGTTCAAACAACGACAATCTGAATAATTTAGAATTAAAACTTTTCCCAATTTCGTAGCTACGGAAGAGTTAACTAATTTAAAGTTTTTTTTGTTTATTGTTCAAAAGCAAATAATTAGTTTTTGAAATTTTCAGCTAGTTGGTCATGTGGTTCCATCAGGAGGTATCGCCATAACCGGACAAGGACAGAACCAATTAGGCGGTGGTTTCCAAGAAGGACAAAGTGCTCCAAAAGGTGACTTTAAAAACTTATTATTCCATTTGATAATAATTTTATTTCCATTCTAGGTTCAGGTGGCATGCTTGGAGAAGTCACCATGGTCCAACTCTACAGCGTAGCTCTAACAGCTGGCAAAGCGCACAAAGATCATAAACACCATCACGCTCATCAATTCGATCACAACGGTAATATGATCACTACTCCAGCCCCCACTACCACCCCAAGATCAACTTTACCAAGCCATCCGCTTCTAACCGGAGGTCAACTCAATAGAAATACCAGAATAAATTTTGCTGGACAACAACCTCAAGTGATCCAAGGACAAGAATATAGCGTTGGTTATGCTAATGGTCAGTTAGTTGGAGGACTAGTGACTCAGCAGCTCACAAAAGGAAATCAACAAGCTCAGTTGGTGCCCCAAGCACAACAAAGTTCACCTCAATTACCTCAGCAAGAGTTTCAATTTGTACCTCAGCAGCCACAATTACCTCAACAATCATTCCAGTTCGTACCACAGGGACAACAAAGTTTACCGCAACAACAATTGTTGCCTTATGGGGCTGGCAGTTTTGGAACCCAATCAATTAGCTTAAGGAACTCTGGTTTTGGAAGCAGAGTAAGAAGTAGCGTATTAGGTAATCCTGCTAATGTGCAGTACATTGATAGTAGCTATGATGAAGGGCATTCACTATACAAAAGGCAAAATAAAGAAACAGCAGCAGGTGCGAATACTGAACCGAAGTTTGGAGATAAAATAGTCACGAAACGCGAAAGTAAACAAAAAAAGAGGGAACTATTTGTAGCTGGAGGTACCATTTTTGATGATGGTTTAGGACAAGGACCTTCTATAGGTAGCTCTAACAATCAACAAAGTCTCTTATACGGTTTAGCCGGTATTGGCGACAACCAACCAATCCTCAAACAACAAAAACAGAATGACGAACGGGAGCCAGCCGAAGCAGAAGTGAAGGCAGTAATGAATATTTGTACAGGATGTGACGAAGAACCGTTTGACAAGGCTTTAGTGTTCGGTTGGAGAACAGTACCCAAAAAGTTGTTCTCTGGTGCTCTTTATATCCCCGCGGTTCCACAGTGTAGAGTGTTTTGATTGTGTTTTAGCTTAATTATCGAAAAGACCTGTAAATAAGTAGTGAAGTAGCGAATAAGTAGTAAAAAAAATTCATCGTCATTTTGCCATCACAATTACCAAGTAAATACTGTCATAATATTTATAATTTTGTATGTAATTTTTTTTACGAAACTAAAAGTATTAAAATAAGTATAGCAAAATATTCAATTTTAATTTTCATTCAAGATATTAACAATATTTAAGTCCCATTTATCAAGTTAACAGAATATATTAAGGCATATATTGTCCGTCGTTTTCAATCTGACACTTTCCGTATGATGCGCGAGGGGGTGAAGCATATGGCAAAAACAGGTGTAACGTCAGGTGACCATTGGCGTTCTAATGTAGGGTGCCACCAGTTTACATTCCTTTGGAGTATCAGATTAAAATCGACGGACTTTACATGATAATTTGAAAACATCCAGGTACAAGATGATCTCTCATTTTCCAGGATTCTGCTCTACTCTAACCGAGACTCTAACTCAAAAAAAAAACATTCGCCATTGAGTTTACAACCTTATGCAGCAAAAAAGTTAGTTGTTATATTGAGCTGATCTTTCGGAGACTTACTTTAAGTTTTTAACATGTTCGTGTAGAGATGTTGGAAATATAATTATGTCATCCATATATATATACCATATTTTATTATGTAATCCAGACAATAGATTCTCCATTGCTCTTTGAAATGTTGCTGGTGCATTTTTCAAACCAAATGGCATTCTTCGAATTTCGAAATGACCATTTTCAACATTAAAAGCCGTTTTTGACATAGAATCAGGATGAATTTTTACTTACATTGAACAGATACTGGTAAATTATAACGATACGTTCCCGAATTAAAATTTATTATCATGACTATTATTCACAGTTCTACGAGTTAAGCGAGAAAATCAATTCTGTTTCATTGTTTCGCCGGAAATTGAAATTCTCAAATGTCAGTACTGGTCCGGAAGTTAGTTTAATTGGGAAATTAAATTTTAATTACGGCAAATTCGCCTAGTTGTCTTTTGTTAGTTGGAAGATTTTTTTCAAATTACATTTATTTAACAACTAAAATTTTTCACGTCCAATCATTTTATCAAACTCGAAACTGTATATAATTGGTTCATTATAAAATAAATTCAAAAACGGAGTATTATTATTGAAGTTGATATTCCGCTGATTTGGATGAGAGATCCAAATCTAATTTGCTGCAACTGAAATTGAATTTCTTTAGAAGAAAATGCGCTGGATTCAAATAAATTACGATCCTAAGCTGATGGCTGACGACGTGATCGACGTTTTAATTGGAACCGGGTTTAAACCTAACTAAATTTAATTGAAATTAAAGATTGATTTTTTTTTTCGGAAAATGTTTAGCATACTTATTCATTAAGCTATTTTCGATTTAGTAGAAAATATAAAGTTTGTCCAAAGATAAATTCATTATACTTTCAGGGACGTAAAATGAATATCTAACGTTTAAAAAGCACTTCGAAAGATAATTTACAAAACCAAATACGTACCGAAGAAATCACTTAGGGCTGGGGGTTGCTTTAAAAATCTCTGAAGGCCTTCAAAATCCATTAGGGGTGTACTTTACCAACAGAAATTAAATTAGAATATTTCTTTTGATATTGCGAAACTTTTTAAATTCGAATTAAATTTTATCGTAGGACTATTTTATACTGTTTTTTGTTGTCTTCGAATCGATATTATATACGTCAGTGGTCTTTTTCTGCAATCATATTTTTGAGAGTAGTGATTTCATTTATCAGGTAGCTTATTGAGCCTGCCTGGAATTGTTTTCGTTCAATTTTCTTAGTTTTGTTCATTACTTCAATTATTTTGTATCAACCAGCTTTGCACTTTTCCTTGAGAATATATTCAACTATTCACTATAGGTTTCTTGCATGAATTTTTTTTATTTGCTTATTGGAAAGAGGAGTCGAAATTAAGCTCAACTAAGGTTAAGTGGGGTAAGTGGGTTTCTGGGGTAAGTGAGTATATGAGCTATAAAAATTTCAAAAAGTAACTTTCGATATCCGCAACTTCACAGAATGTTTTTCAGACCTTCTCTGAGCCACAGAATTTTTTATGTAACTACCCAATTTTTTTGCAGGTGTATTCGTATTAATTTTAAAACACCCTTCAATTTATCTCACATACAAACTTTGGTCTAAAATTTAAAAAAATTCATATCTTCGTTATTCGTAATTTTAGCGCGGCGATAATTACATTCCCATAACTGTAATAAGTAATGATATCTTTTATATGTTTTTCAGATTTTTCGATTGCAGGATACAAATTTTGGAGTCAGAGCCCGCTTTTTCGGTCAGTGGGGCAAGTGGGTACTAACCCTAAGGGGCAAGTGGGACATAGTCCAAGCTTGCCTAAATAACACGTTTTTTTTGTTACAGATGCAGTAAGCCTTTGAAGAAAAGCAAATCTATTTAATTACAAAATCTTTCTCGCGTGACTTATTTTCAACATAACACACTAGTACCATAAATAACCATTTATAAGTGGTTTATGGGAAATAAAACACGAGTATAATTTTTATGTGTCCGTATTCCAATTCCATACCTTCCAGTTTCCCTAAAGACCTTTTTAAATTTTCACAAGCAAAAAAAAGTATCCTTTTTCTTTTTTCTTCAAATTACACTGCCCCGGCCTGCTGTTTTTTGTTGTTAATTATTGTTTATTTTGTGATGGAATGGAGGAACAGGGTTTGTAAAAGCCATTGTAATGATAGGAAAAATGGCCAGCCAGGGGTCACTGACCTATAGTAAACAAAAACCGCTTTCATCGTTTTCGTACTGTATACTGTGCCGGATTAGTACAGATATCGATTTCTTTATTTAATTCTCATTTATAGACAAGGAAAGAAAATTGTCGATCTAGTCGATACTTCAATTAATAGATGTCGTTCTTCTCTTTCAAGTCAAAAGTAGGGCTGTACCAAAGTCGATACGTAAAGCGATTTTGATATTTATATGCCTCCTTTTTTGTCCGGTGGGTTAAAAAAGAAAAAAAAAATTATTAGTTTAGAACATGGAAATTTGACAATCAGTGCTTTTTGATTGGTGCAAAAATATGGCGCAAAATTCAAATAATCTAGTTTTTTTTCTTTCAATTTCTGGCTTCAAGATTTTTTAAAAAATTAACCAACCATACTTTTATGTAGTACATAAAATACACATTCGTTACAGATAAATTATATACCTAATTTTGATTGAGTGCAAGAGGTCCATTGAACATATATTGTTACATCGTTTTACCATTACCTATTTTTGAAATCTATTTTATTGTAACCGACGTAAAATGTTTATGTTATTTTCTGTTTCTCGAAACATATAATAAATTATTATTCAAACTACACAACATAATTCTTACCTTGCTTTTATGGATATGCTGGTGCTGATACTCCGAATCGAATTCCGGTTCCGAAAAGTAACTAGGATCTTCGAAATGACCGACACCGCCGGCGATTCCGATGCCGGCCATAGGAAGGCCACCGGACACGTCAGCCGATTCGAACAATCTCAGGACCGAACGATCTCGAATTTCCCTTAGGTGCGACCTAGAAAAAATAAATAAAAATATCGATTGGTAACTATGAAACAAACGTCATACGTATTGGTCGAATAAGGAATTATATAGGTACCTATACAACCAAAATTGCAAGGATTATAAATGCTGGCATTTGAATAAAAAATTTAAAGTGTAAATTGAGCGGTATAATCCATGGGACAATTTGAGAGATTTCTTCATTATCGAAATATGTGAAACCATGGATAAAAACTGTAATAACTTCAAAAGTTGATATTAAATTATTTCAGAATTAGATCACACTTAAAAGGACCGATAACATTCTTCCACATTTAGATAGTTAGGTCGAGCCAAAACTTCGATTCAGATCCAGAAATTAACAATCATAAGAGGGGAAATAAAGTGGAGCAGACAATACAAGTAACATTTAAAGTCGGTTACTAGAGTTAATAAACTACGATAATGGTGGATATTAAGATGAACAAATAAGGGTTTTTAACACGATCCTATTTCTAGAACTATAAATCCAAAAGAGCTGAAATTTCCAGGGATTGTAGGCCGCCACTGGAATGAAAATCGCTGAAAATTTCAGCTTTTCACCTATAATAGAAAAAAAGTTATGACCTTTCAAAGTTTTCTGAAATCTAAATCATAAGGTAGCTACCTTTTTACTTAAACAACAGAATTTCCGGATTCTATGAAATGAAAAAAGGCACTCAGAAAAATTGATAAATCATCCCACTTTGATCAACACGATTTTATTTCTAGAACTATAGTAAGTCCAAATGAGCTGAAATGTTCAAGGATTATAGTTCGCCACTGGATAAGAATCGCTGAAAAGCTACCTTACTACGAAAACGATGAAAGGATAACTTATCTTATAAGTATTACGGTCTTTGAGATTTGAGCGTTGGAAGATGAACTTTTTTGCGACTTTTTGTGTGGCGAGTATACGAAATACTGGTGCTACTGGTATTTATCAGTCGAAATATTGACAGGTTTTTACGTCACTTTAAAAATTAATGTCAACGTCATTGATGTCAACATAGATTAAGGCCGGGACCGCACTGGGGTCAATGTTGGCGCCAATGCGGTCCCGGCCTTAGCCTATGTTGACATTTGTTAGTGATGTGAAATATGTCGACGTCAAAATTTTGACTGATGAATACCAGTTTTTCGTATACTCTCCACACAAAAAGTCGCAAAAAAGTCCATCTTTCAACGCTCATATCTCAAACACCGTAATACCTACAAAGTTTCGTCCCATTTAAAGGTTGTTCAGAATTAAATCCTCTACGACATATCAAAAAATGGACAAAATCCATAGAGCCCAAAAATCCCATGTAAGGTGTGCGTTATCCTTTCAATTTTTTTTTGTTGAGATTTTGTGTCCTAATGGTCTTTTGGGATCCCTCGAACTCCATACACTAAATTATCCCAAGATTTGGAGCCGGATTCTATGGAAAAAGGCACTCAGAAAATTTTACATTACCCGCAAACTTCCTTAACGCGATTTTTTCTCGGAACCTATGAGTTTAATTTCAGGGATTGTAGTCCTCTTCTGAGATAAGAATCGTTAAAAATTTCAGCTTTTTATCTTTAATAGAAAAAAAGTTATGATCTTTCAAAGTTTTCCAAAATCTAAATCATAAGGTAGCCTTCTTACTTAATTAGTTGAAACTGTTACGTAAACAATTTAGGAAAAAAGCTGACTTTTTGAATAGAGTTTAGGCTATGGTCCGAATATAACCAAAGTAACTGAATCGGTTGACAGATGGTAACTGAAAATTCCGGTTACTTGGGGAACGTAAATTTGAACTGAAAAACAATTGATAGAAGTTGCAGATAAAACCAACAGAACCTACATCCGATGGCCGGTAACTATTTCGACATTTGGTTAACCAGATTTCAGGAAACCGAGGTCCAAAAATAACCATTTTTCCAGGAACCAGAGTAGTTTGATCACTTTCGTACCGCAACATTAGTTTTTGTAAAATGCCAAAGACTTTATCATTTCTGTTACATACTTAAATCATTTGAAATTGTAGATTGTAGCAAGGTGGCAGTTAATGAGGATTGTCTAGTACAATATTTCACTACCTATTTTCAACCACAATGGAAATAATTGAACTGGACTTACCGTAAATCCTCCAATTCATAGAACATATCCTTTGACGAATCGTGAATGTAGATCTTAACATTTGGAGAGTCCAGATACTCCATAGTTAACTGTTTCGGAAACGATCTGACGAACAGAGCTTTGACGGTATCGATCGATGTAATTTCATTTGGAAGCAACGCCCGTTTAGTCTCATTCCGGTATTGGAGAAATACCAGGCCTGAAGAAGAATACATGATAAGCCTGCCGCTTTGGTATTCTGCAATAGTTTACTTATACTTGTACATGCTTTTCGAAACAAAAACAAACTTAACATATTTTTTCTTATTCATTTATATTGTTTTCAGATAGAGGAGATATTTATGCGAATCCGTATTTTGGTATTTCATGGATGGAAAGCAGCTAAAAATCGGACGATAAAAATAATAAATATTTTGATTCTGATATGAATCTAGAGTTCCAACTAAGTAATATTGGTACAATTTTTGAACATTGAATTTCATCTAACTAATTTCAACATACAGGGTGCTTTTTTATATATTGACACCCCACCTACAGCCTTTACCTTTACAGGTAGATGGAAGGTGTAAATAGGTACAAAAGTTGTACAGTATTGGCTAAATTTTTAGAATCCATGGTAAGAAACAAAAATTGAATGTCAGAAATGTGAAATATTGCATGCTTTCAGCTTTTTTCAAATGGGATGCCCTATATTTGGTTCTATATTCTTGTAGAGCACTTTTTCCCGATTCGAAAACTATATGTTTGTCTATATTTGGTTGAGCCGTCTCCAACATATTTGGTTCTAAAAATTTTAAAAATACTATCAGAGAAACCAAAAACCTCAATTTTGTTTCTGACCATGGTTTCTAAAAATTCAGCCAAAACTGTACCAGCTGTATGCAACATCCTCTTTTAACTTAAAAGCGTTTTTAAAAACTGGTCACTTTTAAAAATGTGTATTCTAAGCCATACAAATTTTTAAAGGTACCAGTTTTAAAAAGCCCTTTTAAGTTAAAAGAGGATGTTGCATACAGCTGTACAACTTTTGTATTTACACCTTTCTTCTACCTGTAAAGGTAAAGGCTGTAGGTGGAGTGTCAATATTTAAAAAAACATCCTATACAAATAAGTGGACTATTGCGGAATTTATGGGTGGACCTCTGCGGGAAGAGCGCAGCGAGTTCCGCAGCCATCTACTCACCAATATACTGTTGAACTGTTCAAATAAGACACTCATCTGACACGTGTAGTTTTTGAACTAATGAGAAAAATTCACAACTGAGTGAATCAGGTTAGTATTGTACTTGAACAATATATTAATGAATAGATGGCTGGGACCACCCATAAGTTCCGCAACAATCCACTCGTTTGCACTTGAATAACTTATTACAATATAATACTAGTTTGGTAATGTAACATTATTAATTCCTGTTAAAAGGCAAATTGACAAAAAGTGGATAATACAAATTCTGACTTTATATAATAAGTTATTTTTCAAGTACAAATAAGTGGATTGTTGCGGAACTTATGGGTGGACCTCTGCGGGACGAGCGTAGCGAGTTCCGCAGCCATCTACTCACCAATATACTGTTGAACTGTTCAAGTGAGACATTCACCTGAAACGTGTAGTTTTTAAACTAATGAGAATAACTCACATTTGGGTAAGTGAGTGATGAATTGATGGCTGCGGAACTCGCTACGCTCGTCCCGCAGAGGTCCACCCATATGTTCCACAATAATTCACTCATTTGTACTGTTACTAGTTTGGTAAGTAACATTACTAATTCCTGTTGAAAGGCAAATTGACAAAAAGTGAATAATCATAATCTTATGAAATTTGACTTTATATAATAAGTTATTGTTCAAGTACAAATAAGTGGATTATTACGGAACTTATGAGTGGACCTCTGTTGGACGAGCGCAGCGAGTTACACAGCCATCATCTATTCACCAATATAGTGTTGGACTATACAAATAAGATACTCACCTGAAACGTGTAGTTTTTGAACTAATGATAATAACTAACATTTGGGTGAGTCAGGTTAGTTTCGTACATGAACAACGTATTAATGAATAGATGGCTGCGGAACTCGCTGCGCTCGTCCCGCAGACGTCCACCCATAAGTTCCGCAACAATCCACTCGTTTGTACTTGAATCACTTGTCACATTATGTTACTAGTTTGGTAAAGTAACATGACTAATTCCTGTTAAAAGACAAATTGACAAAAAGTGGATAATCTTACAAATTCTGACTTTATATAATAAGTTATTGTTTAAGTACATACACTCATAATTTGAGCATCAAAAGGATATTTTCCATCTTTTATACGTCATTAGAATCTCATGTGCCTTGATTCCTACGTACGTGAGTATCACTTGAAAGTTTATTCAAGTGCACGTACCTATTCTAATAAATTCCTAAATTATTCGCTTCTGCGGTATGCGCACCATAGAGAATATGGAAATTTCCCGATTTAAATAATTTATTATCCAAAGGCTAGTTTTGAAAATGAACCCGTGCCTTAATGAGATAAAATCGGACTACAAAATATTCTAATGAATGAAAAAGTCCTTCATTATCCAAGAACACGTTATTAGATTCTCATGGAGCTTGCGCATAGAAAAATTATTGAAATCAAGCAGAATTTTTTGTAAAAATTGCAGTTCGAAGCTTATAATGTACCAAAAAGAAATTTTAGTTTTGAAATCAGTGGAATTGACATGATTCAAATCTCACAATGATTCACAGTATGTAGTCTGGGCGGTCTGAAATGATCATTTGAAATTAAATTTCAGCATGGAAAAATTTTGAAGGAAGGTAAGTCGTCATCGTCAAAGTCACAATATTGTTGCGATAACGCCGCCGCCAGAATAACGGCGTCCGCCAGGCTGTCAAGAATCCTAGGCATCCGCTGTCGAATATCCTAGAATCTAGTGGATTATTCTACTTTAATCGGGAAAATAAGATTATGGCGTGTATTCTAGATTATCTTCTATTTTCCTTACAAATTCCTGATTTGGTAAATTAATTTAAATCAAATTGATGAAGACTTTTATTTATCAGTTCTCGTGTCAGTTGCCATAATTAACAAAACCCCTATTAATTTAGTCTTTGTTTGTGTCGCTGTTAAATCCACAGCTGAGAAATTTAATAAACAGCGAGGCGGCTTTAATTTCAAGAGGGAGTTGAGCATTAATTAGGCACTAAGAAGCTGAATTATTTGCTTATACAATTAAGAAATCTGGCTATAGAGGAGAAAAGTTAAAAAAGTAAATATAGACTTTGAAATAAGTAAACTGAAATTGGTGGTCGGTAAGTTAAACATTGACGAATATTGAAACTCAAATCCTTACTTAACTGTAACTTAATTATAACAGCCACAGAGGGGGCCAATTTTTGGAAATGTACGTTTATTTGCGTATGCTTAAAGATGCGTACGATATGAAACCTATACTTTTCTTTGTGCCAATTTTTGGATGACATGCGCAAGTCGAAAGACGTCTGAGCTAGGCATTCGCAACATTACCCAGGGTTGATCAGGCAACACTGCAAATTGGGAGATTTTTGTAGTACTGAGGGGAAAAAATAGGTTGTGTCAATTGTCGACTTTTGACAAATTTTTACTTTTTTTGTGAAAAATGTCGGCAAAGAAGAAGAAACGGAGAGCAAATGCATCAGTTCATCAGATAAGCAGCAAAAATTGCTTGTGGAGTATGTGAAGAAGAAGCCGCAACTAATTAGCGATAAACAAACTTAGAGCCGGTTTCTCAATAGTAAGTCACCCCTAAGTTAAGCATAACTCCAGGGTAAGATTCGATTTCTTAATAGCGAGTCACCTCCGGAATGGTTTTAACTCGGGCGAGCTCCAGGGTCAACGTGTCCAGTTGCAATGTTTACCCTGGAGTTATGCTTAACCCGGGGGTGACTTGTTATTGAGAAACCGGCCCTCAACATTGCAACTGGACACGTTTACCCTGAGGTTAAAACCAACCCGGAGTTGACTCGCTATTGAGAATCCGACCCTCAAAGTTATACAATGAAGTCTGTAATGCGCAGTGCTGGGACGGAAGTTGCTCCAAACATTCGATCAATAATATAAAACAAAATCTCTTAATCGAAACAACTCAATAAATTGTTGATTGTTAAGTTCTATGAATGGATTTAGAGGGTTATACTGGTTGTTTGGTAGATTTTGTTGCTCTGCTATTTCCATATTTCATATTGTGAGCATCACAAAATAATAACAGCGGATATAACCACAAATGCATACGCAACATTTCGGCAAGTCTCTCGCCGCTCGCAGTGAAACGTATGAAAATGTGCGCATGCGTAAACATGCGAATACTCAAAAATGGGATTTCGTAGTCTTCGCACTTTTACGTAGATTTTCTATAGTTAGGAATGGTCAAAAATTGGCCCCCAGCTTGACACTTTTTTGTTTGGCACAAACAAGCGGAGTTTTATCACAAACTTTTCTAGTTTTAGTATCCCAGCTTCATCGATAATGATTCAATTTTTTTTTTTTGTTTTTAATATCTTTCTAGTAAATGTATTTCAGTTTCAACTTCCACAGGCCCAAATACAAAGTAGGCGATTATTCAATTAAAACTTTGCTTCCGCTCTGCGGAGTCGCGCTGAGATATTTAATAATCGAGGTAAAATTACTGCGAAAAAGCTGACTGCTAATTGCCGATTCGAAACTCAATAATAAAACGGTAAAAGTTACGAAATGTGGCTGTAAAAGACGGTAATAAAAATTCGATTTTTAAAGTTTAATCGCTTTATGATAAATGTGTAAAAAATTGGTAGGTAACCAAAGAATGATTCAAAAAAAAGTTCCTAATAAGTAATTGCCTGTCTCGTCAAAATCAGTATGGACGCTTCAAGATAAACAATCGAGGAGATTAATAATATCTTCGGAAACGAGTTACCTGACCCTGACGAAAATTTAGAAAAAGGGGAAAATTCAGAACAAGATCAAAACTATGAAGAGACAAATATTGAGGAAAATCAAATCGATACTGAAGACGGAAATGTTCAGTTACCATCCTTGGATGCAATGAATCAGCACTAACTTTAAATATTTATCAAATCAAAAGACCTTTCATTAAATTAGAATATCCACCGTGTAAATTACTAATCGACACAGGAAGTCATGCCTCTGTAGTGACCCGGGAAAAATAGACCCGTAATTTACAATGTCTTAACAGTAAAAATTAAATGTAATCAAATAATCAAAAATTGAATCTCCAAT